AAGTTCACCCTGTGCAGAATAATATTTACAAAGTTATCAGGTAAAATACAAGTATAAAACCTCAAGAGAAATATCTCTCTAGCTAGAGAGAGAACATGTTTACAGTTTTTTGCTTATGTCATATAAGTAAGAAGAAAATAAAGAAGAAAATAAAGCATAGTAGGAAAAATTTTTGACGCACAAGGTGACACTTATTTATCTCACTTATTAAGTTACCCTTCACCTTTATTTTACATATATGTAGCATGTCAATGACCACAATTACTCCTTTTTTGCAAAATTTCTTTTGACTAGAAAAAATTATTGATAGAACGACAAGGCATGACTAGCATTGACTCTCCTTGTTTGCAAACTGAATCATACAGTAATTCATTGTATCTTAGGATTATCGCTTTTCTTACTTACAGCCATTACGGACACTAAATGACTGCAAAGTGTTACAGTTTCTATGGAAACTGTAAATACAAAAAAATAATATATTGTTAAAAATAGTGTAAGACTTATACCTGTTTTGGAATTGATCTGATTCCATTTCTCAGGATTCCTGTCTGGCTTCCATCTGGAGATTTAATAACAAAATGAGAAGAGACTCATCAGTGATTTCCACCAGCAGGGTATAAGCTAGGTATTAATGACCAATTCACAATGATTGGCCTGATCTCCAGTTGGCTTGAGGCAGCGTACAAAGAAAGTAGTGTCCGATAGCCCGGGGCTAGTGGATTTGCTATCGGTCTAGTGAATTCTGTTTTTAACTTGCCCGACGGGCAAGTGATGTCTTTTGAGGAATTCGCATAACAGAAGAACTGTGAAATCAATTCTGCTAGTCAAAAAGTTTTTGGGGCTAGTTGAAATGACGTCTGGGCTAGTAAATGCTAACTTTAGCTTGCCCGAATGGCAAGCTGTAAAAATGATTTTCTTTGCACCCTGGCTTGAGGTCATACTGGAAAGAGCATCATTGTGTGCCCCATCTTTAAAAATATCAGGGTTTGATGACCAATTATGTCTGTTTTTTTTTCAGATTCTTTTCAACCACTTAGGTTGTTTAGAATCATTAAACTGCAAGGATGATAATTCACTCACTTATTCATCTACCATTCTCATATATATAAATAATAACATTATTCCATATAATAAGTCAATATAAACAATATATATCCTGAAGTGACAAGGTTACAAAATAGCGAGCTTGATATAGAAAAGCTGACCACTACATGTACCATTAAAAATAGAAAAATTGCTTTTTCTGGACAAGTTTCGACTGATGATCAGTACTCTTCAGCGCAACAGCTGATATTTACATGGGTGCCTACTCATGGGAGTCTGATAACTAGACACGTAAAGACACTGCAGGATAATGGTCTGCAGAATGTAAGAGATCTAGAAACTTGTATGTGAGACCAAGCCTTATGTTTTTGTTAACAATAGGCCTTGGCTGGCAGTAAGTAAGTAAGTAAGTACATTTGTCATGTGCAATGTATTAGAACCTTATTGCTAATCACTTTATTAAGGAACATTCTCTGACCAAAAACTTCCAATACTACAGGTAAAGAGGTGCTTATACTAACAGCACATACTTTTACAACTTACTTTTCAATCCATTGTTTCTTATTCTTGGAGGGGTATCACTTCTCACAGAGTCTGTACTATCCTGCATGGATAAATAATTGGAAGAACCCGTAACTAAAATATCATATACAGTTAATGAACAGTCCACTCTATCTTATTACAGATTCATTGTCGTCTTATCAGCCTACAACTATTCCAATGTAGAGTAGTGAGAAAATCCCACCTACTTAAACAGAGTGGATGTAAAATTCCCTTGCCAGGGGACAAGACATGAATCTCCTGGGTGACCTTCCTCAACACCTCCGGTCCAGGCAGAGGACATAGATAAAAGGGAGCAGGGAGCAGGGGAGCAGGGGGAGCTGGAATAGGCCTTGTCTCTAGGAATACTTGTATGCCCCCCCCCCAAACAAAACAAAACATTATCCCTTTGATTATACATGGAACTGAAAGAACCCAAATTGAAAAATGCCCTCGCTACTTCGGCTTTGCACGCTGATTTAAGAATTGGACACTTCAGTTATTATAATCTCTACTATTTTGTTCTCTATATGTTCTTGTATAACTGTATTTCATTTTTTCTTTGTGCATGTACCTGAATAGTGTGAATAAAAGATAATGACGATGATGATGTTGATGACAAGTATATTGTAGTATTCCATAAACCTTCAAAAGGCCTGACATGTGGAACTGCCTTATCAACAAGACATAATCCATACACTTAGAAATACTTACAGTATCAATATCCTCAGGGAAGGTAAAAGAAACTCTCTTTTTAGCAACATCAGCCTTGGAATTATAAACAGAACTTTTCTTAAGAAAAAACAAAGAAATCAAGTCTGCAATGCAATACTACATATGTACTACATGCTGTATTTATCATCCATGAGGTCCTGTCAGGGTGAAATTCTGACAAACAACATGTCCTTGAAGCAGCAACATAAGAGTAGACAAAATCATAATAGCGACAAACGACATAAAGATGCCCAGTCAAATACTGACAGGGACATGGCCTACTCCTCAAAACAGGAAACAACAGTATTTGAAATTCAGACTAGGGACATAATACCTGCCTTCTCCCTAGGAGGACTTCGTTTATAGGTCATATATTAGAGTATTGTATATTGCTTCAGGGTTCTTAATACTTTCATCATTCAACACGGCAATAAATGAACCGTGATTTATTTGTACAGTTTTCATTGATATTGGTCTTCAGATCTTTGATTTGAAAAAAAAAAACCAATTTGAGGCAACTTGTTTTGACATAACCAAATTATGTTCAAGCGATCCACTTCCCTGATCCTGATGCCTACTTAGTAACAATATTATTCTCTTAGACGAAACAATGGGATTCCATTGCTGTAAAACTCTTTTCAGTTGTCTTTTGTTGAGATAATTGACTTTTAATGGCTGTTCTGCAACATTAAACAAATCCTGAAATCTGCACACGAACTTCAAGACGCTGGATCGTGTACGACGTTCAACTATCAGATGAGATCAAATTTTTAGATGAATGTTTACACGTTAATAGCTTCAAGGGTTTTACACCTTTCCACTGGTGAATACGTGTATCGGTTCATTAAGAACTGTAGTCTGTTTACTTCACACACTGTTTGCGGGTTGTAAATTATAAAAAGGAAGTCCAAATTCACGTAAATTATTTTAAGCTTCAATCCTAAAAAAGAGGATGAAAATGATAGGGGAGATATTGATGGCAAATAAGTAAGGACGTTTTGCTCGGCTAGCATAAGCTGTTTAGAAACAACCTAACTGTAATCTTCTTAATGAAATACCTTAGTTTGTAAAGTTGTGTGTTCGTTGTTTGCGCCCACTTGTGAGCTTATATCGGTTAGCTTCGCTTCAAGCCTCTCAGAAAGAGAATTTTCGTTGTCTTGACCATGATCTGCTATAATTACAAAAAGAGACGTGAGTATTAAAGGATGCGAAGATTCTAAGCGGATGACACATCAGGCAAAATAAACGACAACGGACGCATTCCAAAATCGTTACATTCCCCGTTAGAATATAACGAATGTGAGGATTGAATCAGCTCATGAACATATAGTTAGTGTTTTGGTGAACCAATGTGTTAAAAAGACGAAAGAAAAGATAGAAACTACCATGAATGTGCTCATTTTTGGTGGTGATCAAAATAAACAGCAAGCTCGATACCTGTAGAGTTTTGTTTGACTGCAGATAGGTTTTGGTTGCTCATGACCCGCTGAGAGCATTTACTGCAAAACGTTCTATTTTCCAGCGCGACAGATTCGCGCTGACGATCGAGGTACAAACAAAGTTCCTTCAATTCTGCATTATCTTTTGAGAGATCACTTTGTTTTTCTTCTAAAATCTTTAACTTTTCCTGATAGCTTGCCACTTCGTTACGCATTACAGAGGCCGTGTACCGTCCGAATCTTTGCCATTCTCGCGCGAGTTTTCGACACTTCTGTCGGTCGTCGTCCAAGTAACAAGTCAGGTCGCGAAGCTCTTGCAGATCTGCTTGTAGCTTGTGATTTATATCTTTAAGCAAGCGGATTTCATCCAAATGAACTTGCATTCTCTTGTTAAACTCCTTCATCATGTTCCCTTGGTCCTGCATGACTTTAAGTCTTTCTGCTTCGCAATGTTTCACCTTGTCCACCATTTTTTCATATTCTGCTTTTGACACGAAGTTTTCATTCCCTTGTCTCTCAAAACCACTCATGTTTTAACCCTTCTAAAGTAGCACGTTGCTGCTCAACTGCTTAACAAAAGGTCCAAAAAAACACAGAAGTGAACCACATCCGGTATAAGAAACAGTCGATGACAGAGTTCATCCTTTCGACAGCGACTGGCGAACAGACTACAACGAAGCGATGAATGAAATCATTTATCGTTGACCAATCAGAATGCAGAGTTGAGTGACCGCAATAAATTTGACCACGGACTAATTATTCACTCCATTTCACTCCATTGCGTTTTCCCAAGAATCACATCACGAAATATCTTTGCTCGTATTTATAAAATTTTGATAAGATCGAAAGCTCTAAATTACACAAGTAAACGCTACGGTTAAGACCAGTTGCAATATCGATAAATTTTCGGCAGGCTGGAGCCCTCGTCCTGTCTTCTTTTATATTTTGCAAAACAGCTTAGTAAATTAATGTTACAAAATAACATTAGAAAAGAAATGAAAAGAAAAAGTTTTAAAATAAGGAAGAAAAAGAAAGAAATATAAAAAATTCTGTCCAGTAGCTTAGGACGCTATATGCTCTCGTACATGGATGAAATGTCACCACTGCTGACCGTAAACAAACGCAGGAGCAAAATCAACATGTGCATATTTCCGAATTCGCTTCCGATCTATCACCTTTAAAAAGTTGTATTTTCTACGTTCTGGTATTGTTTTCGCGGTGCACATCAAACCAATTGGTATTTCGCATCCTCTGGCTCAGAATATGATGAAAGAAAGGCATTTTCGACTTTGGAAGAAGTTTGCATGTGCGTCCATAGTAGGGCCTGTCGCACATGTCGCCAGCACAAAAAACACTTGTGTTTTGCCCTCTAGAATGCTTTCAACATTGCTTGTTCCAACGACAGGGAAGTGTTGCGGACGTCTTCAAGCTCGTGCTCCATTAACCTACACAGAAAGAGTGAAATTTCGTTCAATATTGTTGCAATCAAATATAACTTGTTCAAACGCGGCTCGGTTGTTGTTTACGACCAGCTCCAGTGATGCTGTTTCACAAACACCCACCAATCCTGGACAAGATACAACCGCTGCAAATAAAAGAAATGTAGGCCTTAAGAATAACACAGCAAATAAACAAGTCTCTTCTACAAGACGTCCTTCTACTCAAAAGGTACATTTTTTTTCTATTGGACTAGATGCAACTTACATAACTATGGTTATGTAATCAGAACCCATTGTCCACAAACTGACAATGCTCTTTTCACAAAAAATGCTTATTTCAGTCAGACTGCTTGCAAAATACGTTATCATAATTCATGCATTAGGTTCAGCACATGAAAAGTTCGGCATCAGAATCAGAGCTGTTTCAAAGTCGCTTCAAATCCGAAATTTCTTCCTGGGCTAGGTGGGAAGAACAGCTGAGCTTTTCCAAATTCTAATAGCTACTCTTAGGGGGTGTTTACATGACACCGGGGCGACTTTCGCTCCGGAGTGAACTCACTCCGGTTCCTTCTCATGGCTCTACATAATTGTTACATGATACCACCACAAAATGTCATGCTGCAAGTCACCCCTGTGTGAGTTCACCCTGGTTGTTGTAGCAGGGCAAGAGTTTCACTCTGGTACAAAATCTCGCGACGGTATCATGTAAACGTGAAACGACTACAAGTTTCAGTGTGAAATCAGTCTGCTGGTAGACTGGAATGGTAGCGCATGTGCATATTTGCGGTTTTGAATCGTACATGTATTTTATCAACATGTAGTGTACCTTCAAATAACACGATATGAAATGACCCAGTCATAATGTTAACACGATACGAAGTAAAAAAGTCATCCCCGTATGAAACTCGCGCTGGTGCGAGTTTTCTCATGTAAACACCCTCTTAATTATTGGTTCACGTGCGGAGCTTGCTTATGAAAAGTTCAGCGTCCTGAACCAGGCATCAGACACTTCAATAGGCCAGTGAAACATAGAGCTTTTCCTTCCCCACCCCCTTCAATCAATGTTGCTGTGCTGTTCAAGCTAATAGTGCAAAAAACAAACAACCCAACTTTTAATGAAAGGGTGGAGGTGGAGTCCAGACTTTTTGTTCTCCATGAAATACACCATTTGACAAAGGTGTCCCAATAATTTTGTTGTCAATTGAAGCTTGAATCACTCCACCGAAACTCTCAAATGCAACCTGTTCCATCACAATTCAATCAGTATGAGTCCTTGATAAAAAGTCCTTTGGACTTTTCTTTCAAGACACCTGTTCACTTTGGAAGGGGCTAACTATCATTTGCATGTGCACAGAGTTTGTTTTATTTTAGTAGGAGGGACTTTTTTTTTCACCTGTGTCGCTTCATAACTGAAAAAAACATCTTTCTCCATAAGGTTTTACATTGTAGTTTTAACAGTATTTCAGCTCATTGCTGCCTACTTTTGAACAAAATAAAATTGTTTAATATGGTTATCAACAGCATTTCTCGTCTGACATATGAAAATTAGTAGGTGAATGCTCATTATTGATGCTGTCCATGTATTTTTCTTTGAATTTAGCTGAGTGGGAGATCAAAGGAGTCACCAGTTCCTTCCTCCAGAGTTGGGAGACTTTTGAATTACAGTGGTATGATCATTTATTTTTGTTTGTTTTCTTTCTCTCAAGAACTGAAGCAAATTAAAAGTCTTAGATAAAAATTGTGAAAACTGAAAGTACTAGTATTGATCGTCATCATACTTGTATGTTGTTACCATCGTCATCATCATCATCATCATCATCATCATTATCACTACAAAAATCAATGAATGTAGCTCCTATAGTACTACACAGTAACATTTAACCTTCAGTGCAGAGCCATAACCTGAGTTATTTTTTTCTCACCAAAATTAAGTTGCCTCAGGACTGTACAATTTGGGGTTGTATTCATAAGATTTCTTGCAAAGTTGTTCTCCTTAAACAAATCACTGCTTCCTCTATGGCTGCGTATTTTCGGTCCTGTGAGTGGTTGAGGGTAGGATGTGATGGTCCTCACTTCTGTCTGAGACTATTATTTGTTATAATTAATTTTATGTGTCCTAGACAGTCTTATAGGGACTTAATGGCTAGACACAGATGCCCTCAGAATTCTTTAATCAATGAAGTAGCTTTTTTTTCTCTGAATCGTTGGCAAGTGTCGCAGCCCCCTTTTACTAAATTAATGTGCTATATCCACCCTGACTGTTTTTCTTGCAGGCCTGGTTGCTGGGCTGGGACTTGGTGCTCTTGCCGAGGTCACAAAGCGACAACTTGGTCTTAGTAAGACAGGTAATCTTGTCTTCTTCTATCATGAACATTTTTGTAAATTTGAATATTTATTTATTGTGTCATGTTATCTCTTTCAAGCAAAAGAGTGGTAGCTTCATACTTTTGTTCGAGTGGTTCTGTATATTATGAATTGTACCCTTCTCATTGATGATGTTTCTTATGAAGGTACTAGTGTAGCAGACCTGACTGGGAGTCCATTTTTGTCTGAAGCAAATGCTGAGAGAATAGTAACCACACTATGTAAAATGAGAGGAGCAGCGCTAAAGTTAGGACAAATGTTAAGCATTCAAGGTGATGTAACATGTGTAGCAGGCCCAGGGGCCCCACTCACATATTTTAATGACGGGGGGTCCGAAGGATTTTTTTGGGTCTGACATTTTGGCCAAAAGGGATTTTTTTGGGTCGCAAAAATAACAGAGGGATTTTTTTGGGTATTGTATTTTTCATCAGCTCAAATCAAAAATAACATAAGCGCAATTTATAGTTTTGTTTTTGACCAAAACCAAAATTGAAGTTGGCACGTTTTAGCTTTCCAGAAGATAAATAATAAAATTTGCTGATGCAAAAACACTGAGGGATTTTTTTGGGTATGCTAAAAAAAAGTAGGGATTTTTTTGGGTAGACAAATTCTGAAGTTGGGATTTTTTGGGGTATAAAATATGAACCTCTGTCGGACCCCCCTGTCATTAAAATATGTGAGTTGGGTTCCCTGGGGTAGCAGGCATCCAAAGGGGTAGGGGATAGGGAGGAACAAAGACAAGGGTGGGAATTGGGTAGAGAGGGTAAGGGATGCCTGCTATAAGAACCCCCTATAATTTGTTCATTTCTGCAGACGGTAGCATCAGCAAATTCCTGATTGGCTGAGCCCTATTGAGTGATTTATTGGCGTGTATTAGTGAGAGACAACCATGATCATGATGCAGGCATCCAGGAAATGACTAATGTTTTCTACTGGCATAAGCTTTGGAAAATCAAAATTACTCCAATCAAGTTGCAACTTCATGTTGAAACACAAACTAGAACCAACAGTACTATAATAGCCTCTTTAGCAAGCAGAGATGTTCAGGAGGTTTTGTATACTGGATTTGTCCAAACACTGAGCGGCGATTGCGATTCGTACCGGACATCTGCAGTGCCTATATTCACAAGAGCAGCGGTTATCATTATTTGAAGAATTTTAGGAGCTGGACACGCTCCTTTTCGGCAAAAGCATAATATACCATCTTGAGTGAACTTCTAAATGATTTTTAAAAAGAGAGCTGAAGCTTTGGTAAAAACTATCCATTGAGCTTTTTGACAATTTTTTATAATTCTCCTTCCATTATTTGAGTCTCAGATATTTAACTCTTCTGTTCTTTGTGACCATTGTGTTTGATGACATAAGACCAAACGTTTTTTGTTTTCACCCAACACTGATCATTGTTTATCGTGTTTGGTGCAGGAGCAGGAACAGTAAAAATGTTTTATTTCGCTCAATTATATCATTTGAAAAAAGCCTCTTGACTTGACAATTTCCGGTAAACAAAGTAATGAAGTTCAGAACATGCTGAGAAGCCCCCTACTTGTGATTGGTAACGTATTGATAGTTGATGTTATCGGATTAGTTGGAAAATTGGTAGGCGGAATACAAAAGCAACGGCTCTTATAGCAGGCCCTTCCTTCCCTTTTCCCTTTCATGCTTTTCTCCCTCCCCCCTTCCCCTCCCCTTTTTGCACCTGCCATGCAGGCTGAGGTGATGTAAGGTCGGACTGATAACTTTCATAGTTAATCTTCAGATCATTTGAACCTTTCACTCCCAAACGTGGATATGTCAAAGTTAAACAAACATTCCAAATTTCATTTTTTGAAGGGCTGAAAATAAACAATGCCATGTAAAATTACATGTAGGGCAAAAGAGGTTTCATTTGAATGTTCATAGCTGTGCAGGAATTTGTCGGCACTCCACAGACTCGATAGTAAAAACCTCCTGACAAGAGACTGAAAGGGTTGAAGAGACTCCTCTATTAAATGTTTTCATTTTAGTAAATAACTTTCCCTGTACATTTTGTTGTTATGATGTAAAATATAGTGCAGTGAAACCTTTAATAGCAAGTGCCTGTTTCTCAAAAGTGCTGGTGATTACTGAACCCAAAAGCTGCTTTGTTAGCACTTTTAAGATCAAAGTTTCAATGATGTTTTCCAAAGTTTTACAGATAATATGATAAACCTGTTGGTTGACAGAGCAAAATATTCTTTAGATTTTAAATTTGATTTGAATGTTTGGTTTTGGGCTCGTTAAGTTGTACTGGCACTTTCAAGAAATGGGCCCTTGGTCCTTCCTTTACTTGCTCAGTGCTTTCTTTTCTACTGACATTGGTTGTTGTTTTTTTGCAGATAATGCTTTCATTTCACCAGAGTTACAAACAATATTTGAAAGAGTGCGTGACAGTGCAGACTTCATGCCTCGCTGGCAATTGGAGGTCTGCAGTTTACTTTGTTACTGGTTCTTTGTCTTTTAAAAGCTACTTTGCTTGGCAACAATGATTTATGAGTTTGAAATGTATTTCTCATTTCAGAAAGTTCTAGTGACAGAACTGGGAGCCAATTGGCGAGACAAACTTTTAGAATTTGACATGAAGCCATTTGCTGCAGCATCCATTGGCCAAGTGCACAGGGGGGTACTCAAAGATGGGCGCTCTGTTGCTATAAAGATTCAGGTATGAAGGGCTCAAATGAAAAGCACTGGAAATGCTGCACTTTTTATTTTTTCATTTTTAACAATTCAATATTGTAGCTAAATCGCAAGGCATCTTGATTACAAGTAGAGACCTAATTTTGTCAGATTTTCATTTAAGGGTCCAGGGTTGTCAAAAGTAGCTGGCTACCAGCGAAAATCGCCACCTACTCAGTTGGTATCGGCCAGCTACTCTGCTTGGCATTTCTTTATGGAAGGGATTTTTTGAATGAAACATCCGTGGACTGGCCGCCTACTTTGACAACTCAGCCATCTACTTCAAAACCTTTTGGCAACCCTAAGGGTCAGATATTATTATGAGTGTTTTATTGGTTAATGAATATGTCTTGGCTGTAGGATGAACAAGAAATTAAAGTACTGCATGATAGCAATGTTGAGTTAAAGATATTGACAATCAATCTTCTCATTTGGTATCTTTAGCTCTTTGCTAGGACAGAAAGTCTCTGTTAATGACAGGAAAAGTTGGAGTGATTCTGTTACTTTAATACTGGAGTGTTCTTCCTGGTCATTAATAATTGCTTACTAAATTTTTCTCATATTTGTTTTTTGTCTTGTTTACCTCAGTACCCAGGGGTTGGGGACAGCATCGACAGTGACATCAACAACTTGATGACAGTGTTGAAAGTCAGTAATCTCTTACCTGAAGGTAACTACCATCCAGTCCTATAATTCATGTGATCTCCCTGTTTGTTTTTAACCAGGTTAAGCTTCAGCCATGAGGGCTTCCAACAACAACAACAACAACAACTTTATTCTTTGTATGCAGGAGTTGGATAGCTTGCTCTGCAAATCGCTGGAAAGCTAGTTGTGGTGGGACAAGACAAGTACTCCTTTGCTCATGTGAACCTTTTATACCTTTTTCTTTAATTTCACTAGGTTTATATGCAGAGAATGCCATGGATGTTGCTAGACGGGAGATGGCTTGGGAGGTAGACTATCTTCGGGAGGCTAAGAATGGACAGCACTTTAGGTAATGGAGCAGTCTTAATACTCTAACCCTCCCAGAAATGGCATAAATCAAAATTAGACAAAAATTCAAATTTCTTTTTGTAAGAAAAAGCTGAAGAACAAATAGTACCATGTGAAAGTACAGTTGCCAAGGAGATTTTTTTGAGTGGTCACAGTACAGGATTTTGTCTTCTGAGTCAAAAATTGGAACCACTTTACAGGATTCCATCCTTCAGTTAACGAAGGAATGGCGACAATACTCATGTTGCTAGAAAAAAATCAGGTTTCACAGTGTTTCCCTGTGAGACATTGTAGAGTTTTCTTTTTTTTCTCTTACCTAGAGAACTGCTGAAAGACATGCCGGAGTATTATGTACCTGAAGTTATTGAAGACCTGACGTCAAAGCAAGTGCTAACTACAGAGCTGATAGAGGGAACATCACTTGATAAGATAGAAAATCCAAACCAGGAGACCATTAACAAGGTATTGTTGGAATCTCATAAGAAAATTGATGCAAAACTTGCCCTGTGTAAGGTAATCTCAGGGGTCTAAATAGGATTTGAAGTAGCCATCTGCCCAGCCTTATTAAAGTAGGCGGCAGTGACAAACGGAAAGGTTGTAAACTAGGGAGGGAAAAGGAGCAAATAGAATGCAAAGTACTTGGCTACAAATTTATGCACCTATCAATGTAAATCCCGTGGGGGGGGGGAGTGCGGGTAAGGGGAGGGGATTTGATGCCTGGGACTATCCCCGCTGTCGGGCTTTTGATCGTGTGAAGCGACCCCGGGGTCGGGACATTTGACTTTGACCGACAGAAGCCTGGTATCAATTCAGAAACAGTTACCAAGTCCGTCCCTCGAGGCTTCCTGAAAGTCACTTTTTATCTTCAAGTTCCCATCTGATTGTAAAACTCGATTGAAATCGAATTCCACCATGAAAGTCAGAGGATTTTTTATGGGTCACTGATCCGACCTGTTCAGACATGTTGAGCAGATGTTATAAAGCATTTTACGTTTTATTAATATTATATAGCACAGGCAATCTTCCTGGAGTGATTTTGTTGTTCAAGATAAGATATGCTAGTGGAGAGAGAAAATACTTAATTACAGCGAGTAATTTAATGGAGCTGCCGTTAACCGTAATTAAAAGTAGTAACAACGTGTTTGAAATGTTCTTTTATTCGTTTTATATAGTATTATAGCATTGCTTGTTTAGATTTTTTTCCCTGGGGTGGGGGCTTTTTTGACACTTTGATTGACCTCTCGTTTCCCACCCTGGGGAATTTGATCGAAAAATTTTAAAATTTGTCAAATCCCCACCCCTTGCCCGCACTCCCCCCCCACGGGGTTTACATTGATAGGTGCATTAGGCAGTGATCAATCACCAGGTGCCAGATTCCATTGAGAACTCTGTAATCTGGATGTCGGAATCTGGGAAATTTTTCCCTGTGGAATCCAGAATCCTGAGTGTTGGAATCCAGACTTCAGTAGGCTGTTCACAGTCCCCTATTATGAAACCAAGATGGCTGCCTGTACTGGTAGGTGCTCAATCCTGATGATCTTATGAAAAAAAAAAGGGCATTGCGAACAGTCAAGGACTTCAGCTCCAGACTGGGAATCCATTATCCTGCTAACCATTGGAATCTGGAATCCAAAACAAGGAGTCTGGAATCCAGAATCTAAAATCCTGAATCCACAGCATAGAGTCCAGAATTCAAGACTGTCCTGGATTACCTTATGTACAGCGCTGTCGGGCGACAAAACTACAGAATTGATTGCATTTCGGGTTGTATTTTTCACAAAGTGTAGTAGATTAGATAACTGATAAATAAGTGAAGTTAAAAATGAGACCGTTTTCTCTACCTTTGTAAATGCAAGAAAGCTCTACAATATGTATTATTTAAGTGAGTGGAAAAGTACTTGACTTCTGCTTCTGTTGCTTTCCAGCTGTGCTTAAACATCCTTAAACTCTGTTTGAAGGAGTTGTTTGAGTTCAGATTCATGCAAACAGATCCCAACTGGTCAAACTTCTTCTACAATCCTGTCACGGAAAAGGTTTGTCCCAGAAATATTGTTAGGATATTGTCAGATAATTTTCCTTTCTGGCCTCGTTAGCATGTGCAAAGTACAAACGAGGTCAGAAAGGCTGATTATCATACATAAAAAAGAATATATTTATCAGCCGCCATTATGAAAAAGGTCTATCATGTTTTTAACAGACCGCGCAATGGGAACGCGCTTCCTCGATATTTCTTTCTTTGTCCTACAAAACCGGCGCCTGTTACGCAAACTAGATAAACTTGAAGATTATTAGACGACAGTGCACCTCAAGCTTAACCGAATGCAAACAGCAATCCGTTGTAATCTTCTAGAGTTCTCCCCGTAACATAGCCTGCGTACAACTGTACAACTGTCGTTTCTGATCAAGTTATCAAGGAGCTTAAACGTTTTTGAGTGACGCATGTCAACCGGAAGTTTACTTTTTGTATTCTTGAGTAGTGTTTTTTTTCTAAAATTTCGGGCAAATAGTAAGAACAAAAAAAGCTTGGCAATATAAATGTGGTAGCGTCGAGGCATATTAAAAGAGAAATGGCCTCACTTCCGGTTGTGCGTTCCTCAAAAACGCCTTTACTGTCGGGGGTTTCAATAAAAATTGAAGTAGCCAGCAGGTTTGAATAGAGTAACTGACTGCGTATCAACAAGGGACCGTTAGACCCCTTTTTCTAGGGGAAAAGTTTGAAATTTCAAAGCCCTAAAATGCGATTTTCAGCGTTCTGGGGACTAAATATGAGGACAAAAGAGCTTGTTTTTCATTCAAAAAATGTAGCTTTCAATTTATGTCCCACAGTCAATTCCTACAAGAAAATGAACAAATGAACGTACTTTTGCCCCTGAACAAATTCTGCGTAAACCTATGAAAGAAACTGTGAAAAAATGACTGAAATATAGCGTTCACATGACTTAAGCATAACGGAAAACTAGTGGGCCTTTACGAAAACACATCTTAATTACGTTTTCATTCAAATTTTATGATATATTTCTTGTCTACAACGTTATTCAAACTAGTTGCTTCTTCTTTGTAGAGGGAAGTAGCCGACTTCTCTAAGCAAAGTAGCCGACGCGTTTCGTCGGCCGTTGGTGCTTATTGAAACCCCTGTTTACTTAGGCTCACTACTGCACGAAAGTTGGAAGGAGAGCAAAAAAAGAAAAAATGGAAGATGGGGGAGGGTAGGAAAGAAGCTCCCTTTCTCTTCTCCCCCTCCCCCTTCATTCCTCTTTTTTTCTCTTGTCCCAACTTTTTCGACGACCCATACCCTAACCCTTGATTATAAACGCGGGTTTCCTCTCATGATTATGCTGTGTCTTAATTTTTAGATCTGTTTGCTTGACTTTGGAGCGTCCCGTGCGTACGACAAGAAATTTGTAGATCGGTATATTAAGGTCAGTTGGACTTAAATCTTGTCCTTATCGTTTTCATGGTCCCGATTTTCAAGATTAAAATCCTGGGCCGGGTTGTTCTAAGCTGGGTTAAGATAACCCAGGGATAGTGCGAGATTTGAATTCAGATATGAAAGCTTAAAAAGCATTTCAGTTAATTCTTTTTTACTAAAATTTTAGTTATTGGATGCTCTAAAAAGAATAAAGAAAATTATGCAAGAAAATGCTTTTGAACTGATTGAAGAAGATACCCGAATTAAAACTTAACTCCGGTTAGCGCTAATCGACTTTCGAACAACTGGGCCGCTGTTTAGAACCTTGGATCTTAAGTATATAAAGGAGGGCTTCGAAAACCTCGTTCCCAAGCATTTTCAATTGCATTTACTCAGCGCCTCAGTGAATGTAATGCCCTGGGAAGGATTTTCCGTGCCTGGCGGCGCTTCGCGTTTTAATCCTCCCGTGATGCCCTGCGATCTCTGTTTGCCGCGCTTCCGTGGACTCTGGGTATGAGACAGCCTCATTCATACATTGCTGTGTTTGTAATTTAGATTATCCGAGGTGCCGCCACAGGGGACCGAGCCATGGTGATTGACAATTCCATAAGACTGGGATTTCTCACTGGATATGAATCCAAGGTGAGAAAGTGTACACTGATTAGTAGAGGGTTTGTAGAACAGACACAACATTCAAGAATCTAGAGCTTGTACATTATTTCCTTATGAATTTTTTCCTGAACATCAAGAGCCATAATGGGACGGTAACATTTAAACCCTTGTATATAGCAAACATGTTACTCTGAGCGCCAAACATGGCATACAGCTAGTCGAAATACAATATTTGATGACCAATATTAGATGCATGAATTCAACGTTGTGAAATTGATTTCTTGGTTTTCCAAACATTCATTCTCCTCCATGTGGTAGGTGATGATCAACGCACACGCAGACGCTGTAATGATTCTTGGAGAGCCTTTCGCCAATGACCGGCCCTTCGATTTCAACACCCAAGATACCACGCGGCGCATACAAGAGCTCTTGCCAATCATGTTACGTCATCGACTATCCCCTCCCCCTGAGGAAACGTATTCACTCCACCGAAAAATGTCCGGGTCTTTTCTGTTGTGTGCCAAGCTCGGAGCATCAATTAACTGCAAGCCTCTTTTTGATGAAATGTGGCAGAGTTACAAGTTTGATGAGTAACCAGAAAAGGGCGCAAGAGCGCTTATAAGAACATCCTGGAATTCAGTTTAATGGTGAATCAACCGACGAACAGCACTTTCACGGATACTCCGATCCCCACTTTGCCCCGTCTTCATTCTTGCTACATCAGTGACTCATGGAAACTCTTTAAAAGTTGTTTTACGCTATGGTTCGCAATTTTTTATGATGGCTCGCAATTTGCAGTCAATTTTCAATCGCATTCTAATTGCGTGCAGTACAAACAGACAATCTCTCATTTTTGGCCCTCTCTCTTCGCTTCTCTGTCGAGAGGACCCTGGGAACGAGGTTGTTGGTTATCAATTAAATGTAAGATATAATTGGACAATCCCTATTAAATCGTAAAGGCTATGGAACAGAAGTGACCTTAAGTTACACCGCACGGGTACGGGTACGGGTAGGCGAACATGTCTACCCGCGTTAAATGTAGAAGGCGACCATTTTCTCCCAGAAGAGATAATGGCGTTACCGTTCTACCTGGTAGCCTACCCGTTTCTCCGGGGGGTAAGAAGCAGACTATCCGTACCCGTACACGGAAACGCCATATCCGTAATCAACGCCCTGCAGAGATCGGTTTACCGATAACTGTCGGTTTTACGTACAGGAGAGGAGAAATAGTCTCCGATTTCACTGCTGGTCGGCGTTCCATCTTAATCGTACTTGTATACTGTATTACGCTTTGTAACGTGACTGTAACCAGAAACTCATGCTGTAACTCATGGATTCGTAAAGGAAACAGTAATGTCATTTCCAAAACTGTGCATCAGTTTGTCTTCCCATGTGAGGAGAATCCGAAATAGTCTTGGATTCTGGATTCCTCTCCTTGGATTCCGGATTCCAGGTACTGTATTCTAGTCTTTGTGAATGGAACTTGAATTCTGGATTCCAATCTTTAGTAGGATTCCGGATTCCTTGTGTTATATTCCGGATTCCATTGCCCAAGATTCCAGATTCCACAAGCAAAACTTTCCCAGATTTCGGATTCCACAAGCATAAAATTTCCCGGATTCCAGAATCCCTTACATGGAGCGTCACTCCATGTCACACTTGGGACCTATATAGTCCATGAGCCAAGTGCTGTAAAATGGCAGATCGTGACGACCCGAGGTGGCGAATGCTGCCAATGATTTTTTGAAAACCCTACTAGTGTAGATGACGAAAATGTATGATTCCAGATTCCATCAAAAAAAAATTCCCGCCTACATGGGACGAAGTGCATTGCACTTCGTCGTGGTTTACGTTTAGCCGTGGTATTGTTTACGTGATAGAGATCTTGTGTATCCGAAGAATTCGGAAGGTTATAGTTATCGGTCAAGGAAGAGCAGATTGATTCAATAGTCTGTAATAGTCATAAAGATGTAAAACTCGAAGATAATCTTGAACGAAGTGTCCGTTTCCTCGTGGCGCCATTTTCAATTTTCATATGTTTAGAATAATCGGTCAGAAGTAGGTCGAAGTGATAGACCTGTTAAGCGCGTTTCTTTTGTAAATACAAGAGAAGTTACCAAGAAACAATGTAAAGGGGTTGCAAGGGATTAATAAGTCAAATACTTAATAAAGGAAAGCGAACTGTCTTTGATTTTTTTTCGCAAGGTGAATCAACAGGGTGAAGGTAAGGTGAAGGTACACTAAAAGCAAGGCTCCGTCCCAGTTGTGCGCGGTTACCGGTTGTGATCGGTGCGAAAAGCTTCGAGGCTCGTAGCTTCGGCCTTTGGCCGGAGATATGTCGCGACGCCGCACAGAAGAACAGCCGAGGGCATTTTCGAACAGCAATGCGAGTCTGTTTACGTCCCATAGACATCCTATTAGCTCGATAGTCACTGCTCTATGTAGCTCAATCTGTCCGATTCAAGACGGCTAGAGTGGCGCCACCTGCGCTCTAACCTGCGCCGCTTCCTCTTCTCATCAGGCCAATGTCCTCGTTATACCAGGGAGGGTTTGGACGAAGGACGATGGTCCGAGATTTCAGCGGAGCCAATATGTCCATGGTGTCACGCAAGACGTTATCATACCTGTCAACCAGCAGCAACTCCAGGGGGAGATCACTGGCATCTGCTAGCAGGCCTGACGAGATGATCATCTTATTAAAGGACTCAAAATCAAAGTTCCTGAGCCGGCGGCTCAGAACAGACTTTCGTTCATTGAGCGGTATCTGAAAGTTCAGCTGAAAGCAAAGAGCTTTGTGGTCAGAAATTAACTGCTGCATTACAACAAGTTCATTGACTTTCAAAGCCTCCGCCTCATTCTAGATATGACAAGGTCTAAAATATGACCACTCCTATACTATGGGTGGGAACAGCCACATGTTGTTTCAGGTTTAACATATCTGTCAGCCGTATCGTCCATGTGGAAGTTAAAGTCGCAGATGATGAGCAGCTCCTCTGAGCAAACAACAACTTCTTCCAACAAACTAGAAAACTCCTCAAAGAACAATCCAATTGCAGCACCAGACTCAGGCGGACGATACACTACCTCGGATAGATTTACGATTTGAACTCGAAGCTGAACGTCCGATGTATTTGATGGTTGTGGTAAAATTACCGCAAAATTTCACAAATAAGCCCCTTCATGTATAAGCGCCTCCAAATATAAGCCCCCAAAACCGGTAACGCAAAAAAACCCTCCGTTAAATCGCCCCTCCAAATATAAGCCCCCCGGGGACTTGTACTCGGAAAATTGCCCTCAAATATAAAGTAAAACAAAGCAAAAACGGTAAATTTACTTCCAAATATAAGGCTAGCCCAATCGATTTTGAAACGCAAATTTCCCTCCGTAGATAAGCCCCTCCGAATATAAACCACTCCAAAAATAACCCCTCAAAAAGGGCCTTTGAAAAACATAAGCCCCGGGGCTTATTTTCGGAATTTTACGGTATGGGATCTCCGGTGAAAAAAGAGAGATAAAATGCCACCCATCGTCTCTGTGAAAGGGCTGGCAGACTTTGTAATTCTACCGAAGTAACTATTTTCAGGCAAGTTGACCTGTTTCTGTCAGTCAAGGAAGATGGCTATTTTCTAAATATCTCTCTTTAGTCAGTTCCTAGAGTCAGGATACAAACGAGGCTATGAAATGCAGACAAAAATTGGCCATTTTAATCTTTGATTAATGCTTTATTATTACACTGGAGTGTCAATACACGTGTACTTTGATCAACACGCAGGTAGCAACCCGAAGGGGATACTCCCATATATGGGCCAATTTTACAGGGATTTGCCGTTCTAATTAATTCTCTCAGGGTCGATTCCTGAGCACTCACCACCTCTAATTATTCCTAATCAAGTCTAGCTTACTGAGCAAATTTCGTTTGCAATGGAGTCGAAAATTCATCTTTATTTCGTCCATACAGAACAGGCGGAGAGAATCGTAGAACCAGCGGCAAATCCCCATAGGAAGTATAAGGGAGTACCGTGACCTCGGGGTTAATAAACAGCCATTTTACATCGGACATCATATTGCCTGCGGTAAACACCACACTGGTACCATGACAGGCTACCGTACGCGTAGCCCCGCACTCGAACGTTCGATCTTATTGCTTCAACACGCGTTCCTTCGACCTCCTGACGAGGCCCTAATAACGTATGCGTGGAAGGCTACTATACCTGTAGTTTCCCTTGCCGCCGTTTCTGTCTCGCCACGCAACGCTTCTCCCGTTGCGCAACGAGACAAAAATGGGGCCTCAAGGGCGACTACCCTACGCGGGACTCGAGTTAAGGTTTCATAATTTTAACATTTTGCGCCTAATTAAATAGGAAATCCACAGTGTATTTAGCTAATTAAAAATGAAAATGTTACACTAAAAGTAATAGCTAATAATCGCTACTTATTCAAAGACCATTGAAACGTCCAAAAGCCCTAGAATTGATACTAAGGCAGCCTTTGGACAGACCGTCCTCACCTCAGGAAATATCGGAGACGCCCCTTGTCTGATTTTTCCTTAAAGGAAGGGGGGGGGGGGTTCTGTACACAGGCTAATACTTGGGCTGACAAGGAAGCGCGAAAGCCAACAAAATAAAACAAAACAAACAAATGAGTACCAATAAATAAAACAAGAAAACTGACGATGAAAATTGAAATATATCAAATTTTCTAGAAGCTTCGATTCAATAGTTAAGAGCCTGTTTAAGATCCTATCTAATACGTCAAAATTCTAAGAAATGTATGTTGTTGAAATTGCTATTACTAGCAATGCCACGATTATGCTAAATGAATCAGATAGAGATAAGATAGTTTATTTAACAAACTTTAAAATCCAGGCAACTATCCAAAAGGGGGAATGCTAGTTACGGAGAAGAACAGAGACAAGTTTCTAGTTTATCTATTTACGTTAAGAGCAAGATTGCATGTTGCGCGTTTTACCTGCCCATGACAAACTTGCTTTGCAGCAAGTGACGTATACTTCCACGTATGAAGTGGCTACCGCGCGCGTAATTTTATCCAATCAAATGTAAGTATTCAGGTAACTTGCAGCAACCTGATTTGTGGCCAGACGAGTTTGAAGGTGGGTGGCATAACGCGCAACATCACTCGTTTGAGCAATGCTGCAAAAATATTGCACATTTTTGTGTTACGCGTTTACAGAAGCTTAAAAGTGAGAGAGTTGGTAAAATCTTGTTCACTTTTACTCTTAAGAAGTACTTTGGCTGGTCCGCTGACTTTCCCCACTGAGACTATTCTACTCCAGGGGCACAAAACGGAGAATTGTGAAATTCAGACATTCTTGCGAATGTTGATTCTTGAGACTAAAGTGATAATCCTCATTATTATATAAACACCAATGAAATACCAAGTGAGCTTTCGCGCGAAAACTTGATATCTTCACATGTGAAAATAACATGTTATCCTCACATGTGAAAATATCACCATTGCTAAGGCTTCATGATAAACCGCACCTTTCAGACCAAGAAACTTTTTAAGTAAAATGGTTTGGCATTTCATTGGTGTTTATATAATAAATAGAATATTACATGGTCGCTTGGAGATACGAAATTTCTCTTCTCGTGTAGAAAAAAAATATTTCACGAGTGAGCGCAGCGAACGAGTGAAATATTTTTTCAACAGTCGAAGAGAAATTTCTTATCTCCGCGCGGCCATGTAATATCCTCTATTAATTCTTTAAATAATATAATATTTACAACTGTGGCGGAATTGAGGTTTAAGGCAAAGTTGCAGTAAATGATGACGAGACAAAATAAATCACCCTTAAAATAATGGTTAAAATTACGTGTAACTTAATATAAATCCGCTAATATTCAAATTTTTAAAATCTTCTTACAGAGGCAATCTCTAACAATAACAGCTTATTTACATGGTGACGTCTATTTGAAAAGAACTTTTAGTTTAACTTTGCACCTTTTCAGTTAATGACAAAAACTTCATGAAATTTAGATGGCTCTAACTTAGAAATTAATCAGTAATATTTGTCCCTGGAACAGTTTGTCGAGTCATTCACTTCATGGATGAAAGCCAAGTCAAAGAAAACGTGACCTTCTGTACATGCTAAAATAAAGACCTGACGGGACTCCCACATGAAAATGACGGGGTCAAGGGGATGCTCGTCGCTTGCTTAGAGGTTAAAATTGCAGATTGTGGATTAACAGGACGGAAAATTTTGTAATATTTTTTACATAAAAAGAAACAGATGCTGTCAGACTGTATTGCATATAGTCTTCTTTAGGGGTCAAATCAAGCCTGAGCCACGCCCAGATTGATCTCCTTCAGGGGTTTAATTCTAACTTTCCGACAAGCATCCCCGACTCTTTCATTTGCACTCCGATCCCCGCCCCCGGCCAACCCAGGATACAGCGCTGCGGAGCCCGGCTCGATACAACGAACCTGTATACAACGAAGTCCTCGGTAAAGCTAATGATTTCTTTACCCCAGTTATAGTAAAATACCGTATATGGAAAAGAACCTTCATATGACGAAACCCTGTTACAGCGAACTAAGTTTGCCAGTTCCTTATGTCGGTTATGTCGGTTCCACTGTGGATATAAGCTTACCCAATATTGAAAGCAAACCTTTTTACAAGCTAAACTATTATCATTTAGTTTATAGAATCTCTATACTTAAAGATCTGGATCCTATTGTTACCCCAATCGCTGACAATGACACGTGACCCACCGACCACGGAAACACTAAGTGGGAATGCAAATTGCCCAAGACCTTTCCCATTGGTACCGAAACTATTGAGAACAACTCCTCTTATAGTAACAACTTGAAGACGGTGATTTTCAAAATCGCATACAATAATATTTTGGTTTTTATCAATAGCTAGGCCCCGTGGGCCACAAAATTCGCCTTTCTTGTGACCAGGTCGGCCTATTATCCGTATCAGATCCCCATTTTGATCAAAAACTTTTATCACATCGTTACCGGTGTCCGAGACCACAAAACGCTCTTCTGTATCATGGTAAATAGCAAACCTGGGATGAATGAGCCGGTCTTCTCCTGTATCTCCAAATTTGAAAAGGAACTTGCCATCAGGGCCAAAAACTTGGACTCTGTGGTTGTTCCAGTCGGTGACAATGACGCGACCTCTCTGATCCACAGAGATGCCACACGGTCCATTGAACTGGCCATGGCCACTGCCCTCTGAGCCAAACTTCTTGACGTACCTGCCAGTTTTAACATCGTAGTACTGCACACGGTTGTTGTCACTGTCAGCGACTAGGATGTACTTCTGACTCTTGTCAAAGGCTATGGCCATCGGGTGAAATAATTTGCCATCTTTGGTGCCCTCTCCACCAAAATCGAGGATCTGTCCTCCGTCTGCTGTGAATACGTGAATGCGATGCTTTAGGCTATCCGACACAACGATTTGCCCATTGTCTGACCCAATGACTCCGTGAGGTTGAGTAAATTTCCCATCTGGATTACCATGGGAGCCAAAAGATTTCAGGGGGGATAGAATCGGTGGTTTCACTTCAACCATGAAAGGGCTATCTCGGATCAGATGCCCGCCAACTTCAACTTGTACTCGGTGGGGCCCAGGGACGCGAGGCAAGTAACTTACATAGTAAGTACCATTTTTATAGTTTCGAACACTGCTTTCTATCACACCCCACATCGAAGACTTTACTTCCACTACCACATGGTCGATTTCGCTGTAGCAGACCTCGCCCTGGGCGTTTCTGGTTGTAACTGTAAATTCAGCTTCTTCTCCAGCTGAGACATCATCCACACCGTCTCCCTCAGCCGTTGACATGGCTGGTTCGGTGAGACTGGTCACAACTCTACCTATGGTCGAGTTTTGAAGCCCATCAAATATTTCGAAGTTAGGAACGTAACCGATCTGTTCATTTTCCGCGGGGTTTGTGCCCACAACAAGATTCGCGATCTCTTCAACGCGTGACGTGACGTGATTTTTAATATTCAGGATTTCTTCGCTGATATTTCTTTGGAGAAGATTTTCGATGTAAACAAAGGCGCTTTCGGTCTGTGACTTCATAGTCTCGAAAAGCTTTAGCTGGAATGAGAGATTCTCGAGCTTATCCCTACGGATATTCTCCAGCGACTGTATAATCTCCTCTTGATGAGCCCTGATGTTGGCGACAAGATTATCCATCTTTGTTGTGATATCTTTCTTCAGGTAGTCTACCTGCTCCTGGACTTCCACTGATCGATGTTCGACGTTATGAACACCAATTTCCACCATTCTAATTTGCTCTTTGAGTCTCGAGTTCATATCTCGGAGTTTTAACTTTTGCTCCGAAGCGGCCTCGTGCAGGTCGACAATTCGATGAGTGTGTTGGACGGCGATATTGCATATGTGACAGACACAAGCGTCACAGTCGTAACAAAAGTATTCGACAACACCTTTCTCTGTGAATTTGTGGGCGCAAAGCATCGGTCGCCGAAGCAGATCTTCATAATCTCGCATCTTGAATTTTCCCAGACTCACTGTACGATGCGCGTTACTTCGAGTAATGACATTGTGCGCGTTGAAGCATTCATCACACATGAATGTGTCACACGCAAAGCAAAACGCGCTTAACATCAACTTCTTTTGGCAGTTCCCACAGGCAGCATCAGGATAATTGCGACGTTTGGCGATCAGAAGATCTAGAAGGCGGGTGGTGTACAAATTTGATGGCAGTAAATCGAACTGGTTGCCTTCTGGTTTTCGAATATCAGTTTGGCAGAGTGGACACGCGATTGAGGTTTGATATGGCCGACTTCTGGCAATTTCTTTCAAACATTCACAACAAAACGTGTGGAGACACGGCGTAAGTTTGGGTTTGCGAACAACGTTGGAGCATAAAGGACAGGTAACCAACTCCTCGAGGTTTTCCACAACATTTCTGATGTCCATATTAGATTGTAACTTCGACCTACAACCGATGCGATCAAAGCAGGTCGAGCGATTCACTTGAGTACTTCAAACCACGCAAACGTTAATCGTTAATTGCATTCATCAGACAAAAACCGCTGGTTTATGACAAATATTTACATGAGCCTCAGTTGGGTCCTTCAATCAAGCGCTAATCCGCTTTTAAAACAATCAGCGTGTACTTGGTGCAATAAAGTCACGAATTTTGAGATGTCTGTTGTTTACATACTTATGTAAGTTCGTTTCCGATTAGTGTTTGGCATAAAACTGAAAACGAATACATCTTTTCCGGTTTATTCATTTGTGAAGCCTCTCATAGGTTATTTACTATTTTCGTATCTATTCGACATAATTAAGAGGACGTAGCCAAGCGATAGTTTGCTACTGGCCCCTCATAATTTTTACTGCACTGAGCCAGAATTTGTTATTGCAAAGAATCAGTATTGAGAAACAGGGAAAAGCTAGCTTATGAATATAAATAACTTGCTTCCATCCATTCATAACTGTACAAAATAGCTGTCATAATTACTATGACCTTCATTGTCTCCTTATGTTCTTACGCTGACAAGATAATTCTATTGAAATTAACATATCATTTCACAGCGTTGAAAACACACTAGATTCAATGTCCTCCATAATTTGATTTCTTTCCTAAGCTCTCTCCAATAAATGCCGGTCTACAAGGTATTTATCCTGTAAAAGGGAGGACTATCAGTTAATCCACTCTTAATACGTCTGCAGGACCATTTCATACGTATTTCATGGCGGAGATACGATCTGCAATAAATTCTTTATTCCAATCTTATTGATTAAGAGAACAAAGAAAATTCTTAGCGTTGAGTGAGCTTAGTCAAAACCTCTTAGTTATTGGTGGTTGAAAAAACGCGACTGGAAGTAATTCAAGTCAGACAGCTCCAACAAACTTTAGATCTTATATGTCTTATATATACTGCACCTGATGACGATTAAAATGGCGTCTGTAAATGATTTTAAAATGATTACTACCCGTACACCTAGAACTCTCTCAACGTGGCTCACATATCTAACATTTTTTGTGAATGACATAAGGTTTTCTGGAAAAGCTGGAATGCTGCTGAAGTTGGACAATGCGCATCTTGCGCTCATGTGTTCCAATGGGTAAATAAGTAGGTACTGAAATAATAAAGAATTTGTTTCATAAAAAATTTGCGCACTTGGCGGGAACTCTCGGCTAAATTGGATCAGCCACAATGAAGGTCAAAAGTGTCGGGACCTTTCCAATTTCCAGTGATATTAGTAAAACTAGCGACCCCTCTCCTCCCACCACAAACAAAATTAAATTTTGAGCAAATAGGTAGTAATGAGTGCTTTTTTTGCCCACAACATTGCTGGGGGGAGTGGTGGCGGACGACGGGATGAACCCAAACGGCCAAACAAAAAATTGTCATTAGGAGCAGAGTCCTACGTTACAATTACTAGGAAGGGCTTTTTCACACAGCTAAGGTTTACAAATTTATTTGCCCAATATTTCGACTAGACAAAACTAGTCTTCATCAGGGACTAGTTTTGTCTAGTCTTGCCTTCAATTTTAAGTGTTATTTTGTATTGTTGATCCTGATCTACGACAAGATCCGGCTTTCGCTCGCCGCTGTTTGTCCAAGAGGTCCTTGCAAGAATTGTTCACTTTTTCTCACAGTCCCAAGTTCTTTTGTTCTCCATTGTATACGCAAAAAAGGAACACCAAAAACTGTCGCTTATTAGCCTGTTCCAAGCGTTCAGATAGTGGAGAGGGGTGCGAAGTAAAGAAAGCGATGAAAAGTAGAGGGGGATCCTCCCTCGCTTTTATTTTTTCTCGCTCCTTTTTATTTCGCACCGCTCCCCACCATCTGAACGCCTGGAACAGGTTAGTCGCTTATCGCCCTTAACGTATGAGCCCCCCTCCCTCATCTACCAGTAAACAGAAAAAATATACCCCCCCCCCTCCTCCCCGGGATGAAATCCCCTTCTCACTTTTCTTTTCTTGACTGATTCGACTTATTGCATGTGACTGGTATTTTTAAAACTTAAATGAAAACCAGTACTTGAAACACAAAACGCATTTTGATCTGCTCTGCTTTAGCTTTTTTGGAAGCGTTTTCTATTCCGGTTATAAACTGTCCCTCGGATATAAGCCCCTCCATTTATAAACCCTCCTAAATTAAAGCCCCTTACAAAGATGTATAAGCCCAGGCAACACAGTTTGGCACTGGTTTTGTCACGATAGTTTTGTCGTTTCTGTTTTGTAGTAGTGTTTTTGCTCTTTTGCTCTTGCTCAGTTTTTCTGGGATTAACAAGCCCTTCAGCGTATGACCAGTAAATCTGTTTTCATGTATAAAACGTTAATGACTCGTTTATGATGAATAATAATTTAAAACACAATTTCAGTGAAAGGAAGAACTGTACTTCGTACAATCTGAGAAATACTAAGAGCAAGTTTGCAATTGCACTTCCTCGCACGTAGTTTCAAGGGAAGCTTTAGTTACAGGGGTACGATTTTGTGGATCGATTGTGGAATAGCTTCCCCGAGGAATACGTGGAAGCTCTCCTAACGGACACTCTCGTAAGCGGAAGGCTCTACTTAAGGCCACCTTCACAAAACGCCTTTTTTCTCAACTCCCATACAAACTCTGTATTTTTACATTCTCGTAAGCGGCCAGCTTCAGTTACGGACACCTTTTTCGCGTCCCGTGGATGTCCGCTTAAGAGAGCTTCCACTATACTCACTGTACTGGCCTATACGGGAAGGCTTCGTTCAATTATATGAAAGGGTAGAAATTTCCCTTGTTGAAGTATGCGAAAGGGTAGGCAAATCTGTCATTTCGGTCAGCGAAAAGGTTCAAAAGGAATAACGGATGCACTTGTTTATGGCTGTCAAAATGTCGAGAACTGAAAACATTCTGTTTCAGTTTTTTATATATTTATATTTAAAAGGCATTGCATTTGCAGCAGTTAAAAGCGGTATAAAGCTCTAAAATAGTTCAAGAGATGATTATGACGACTCGGTTCAGTCGGGAAACCTCTATTAAGCGGACACCTTCTGGACCTTTCCAAATGTCCGCTTAATAGAGGGGGTCCGCTCAATAGAGGTTCACAAAATTTGCGCAATGTTTGTAACGATTAACTTTCAACAGTTACTCTGCACTGTGAGAAAGTTCCAGGTTGTTAAGGAAGCTAAGGAAGCTCAGGGGCACCCAACGGCAATTTTCGGGAAAACATCAGTTCGGAAGACGATTTGAGATCTAGAATTTTCGGAGCGTTTGTTGTAAAATTTCTTGCTTGCCTGCCTCTCCTAGGATTTTCGAACATCTACAAAATGGTATAATTACTCATTTTTAACGGATTTTTGCCCTAAAAAAGGCCACCTAGAATTTTCGGGAACCTTTTCCTGGCTGAAATTTTCGAGAAGGTAAGATTTTATCCCTATAATTTTCGGATCACTAGATTTTTAGCTAGGAAATCCGAACAGATGAAAAGTTTTTAGGGGGTAAAAATATGCCTATATCTACCGTTTGAATACTAAAATACGTCCAACAATGCTATGTTAAGTGGTTTTGAACTATATCCTCGTTGGGTGCCCCTGGAAGCTGTGCTGTACTTTGTGCAATCGGACTTTTTAGGGGAACTTCTGACAGCTAAATGTGTTGATTTATCTTTATTAATCGACACAGTACGTATTTCAAGGACGTTCAGTCCGGTTGCCGCTTAATAGAGGGTTTTTACAATAGAAATAAGGCAAATTTATTTTAGTGTCCGCGTCCGCTTAACAGAAGTGTCCGCTGAATAGGGGTTCGTTATAAAGGAAAATACAAGACGTTAAATTCAGAACCCGGCTTAGTGTCCGCCTATTAATAATACAGGGTGTCCGCTTAATTGGGGGTCCGCTTAATAGAGGTTTCACTGTATTTGAAAGTGGAACCATTTTTCAATAGAAGTTTTACAAAGTGGGTACCTTTTCTGTCAAGACAATGGTATATAAAAGAGTAACGGGTTGCTCCTTGGAGGAGGAGCCTCCCCGTATAAACAGTTGCTGAGTACCCCTCCCCTCCCGGGAATGGTTTACCTTCCCAGGTGTCCAGCAGGGTCGTTAACATCAGAATTTAAAACTCCAAAAAATTAAACCGCCACATTTTTCAAACTGAGGATAACTTGTATTTTTCAGTCAATTGCGCTTTCAATTACATCTGCTGCACAGCTTGTTTTTAACATTTAGTATAGATAGAGTGAGTACAACATTTTTTACCACATGTTGACGTCCTCTGTGATCAAGTATTTCAATTCGTTCTGTGTTTCCTTAACTGAATCCGTCATTTTAATTAATTCTTGTGTGGTTGTTTATTACCGTCAAAGGAAAAGAATATATTTTAGTAAGCATGTTGAAGCATAAGCCTGGTTGAAAACGAATTTTCCTCTTACAAATTGAGCACGCAAACCGTAAAGGTGTCGCAATAGTTCATTAATCTCATTTTACTTACCACCTGCTGTGATGCAAGCCAGGGAATAGAAAATTCATTATCAAACTTTTAGTATCATAGTTGCCGGAAACTTGTAATGAAAATTCATGACTTTTGTCCCGATTAAGTATTAAACAGTACCCTCCCTAATAAGGCGCATGTAAAAGATGGGGCATGGGAGAAGAGAGAATAATTATTCTCTCAGTTGTCCCATATATGGGCTAGATAGGTATGTGCCGCCCGATGTGGTATGGTTCATGGGGGGCCCGAACCTTAAATACGATACCATTTTAACCAGCGAGTTTGGCATTGTGTTCCCGGTTTGTTACTTAGATAGATAGGATACAAAAATTGTATCAGCTGTTCAATGTGAATTTCCAGCTACTCGAAAAAAAAAAAAGCATTTGTTATTTGTTTGAATTTGCTGCGCTATCCGCTAGCCAAGAAAAAGATTTTTTGATTAACGTTTATGTGTTAGTATTAAATTCTTATTTTTTTTACAATTTTTTAATT